TTATATTATATTTCTGGAATATATATGGAATATATATATGGAATATGGAAATAGTTTGCTAATGTTTGCTTAGTCTGGGGACAGATACACACTGGGTGTTCAGTTGGAAAAGGAAAGCTCAACTACGTGGGGTCATTTCCAGATCATCTGTTCCAGCAACGGGATGGGGCTTCTGGTTTCTTTTCTCTACTTTTTCTGTTGAAGGCAGCTTGTTCCTTAAACAATAGGCCATTGCTAAAATGTATGTTTTCATTTTTTAACTGAGGCAGAAATGTGGATATTTTTAAGGGAAACAAAACAGTGACCTCTTGCCATATCTTACGGTATCAGTCACAGTCTACGCAGGAAACAGAAACCATATCTGTTAGTTCCAGAGCCGAGAGAGAGACACACACACAAAGCCTCATGTATAGCAAAATATTGTTTATTTTGAGCACTCGGGTGCAGGCGAAAAAGCATCCATGAGAGAAAAGGGGAGATCCTTGAGTTTTATAGAGGGTTTTTCCGGGGGGAGTAAGTGGGCCAGAACAGCTGCTTGTAATTAATTCTTTTGCAAATAACAAACTCCTGAGGCACCTGTCCCAGTCACATCCATCCTTCTGTTCTGGAGTGGTCCGTATCAGGAGAGCTAGGATGGGATAGCCCTTGTCTCTATCAGGGAGGGAGGGGGAAGGAATGCTGGCTGTAGCTGTCTGTTAGATTTACAAAGTCTAGGGACTCTCCAGACACCTGCGGCTATTGTTTTACAAGCCTAAGTTTTGGATTAACCACATTCTGTCCTACACATCCTTTCGGTTCCCACCTGGAACAATACCTAACACAGTCAAAATGATTTCACTGAAAAATGTCATACAGAAACGATTTACAGAAGTATTGCCTGGTTTAAAAAACTACCAACAATGGGAAGCTATTACCACCATAGCCCTGAAGGGGCACTGGAAAGAAATGGTATTATTGGAGATCCATGAGAGCTGAAGCCATGGAAAAGAGGCCTCTAGATAGGCATTGTAGTCATAAAGGGACACAACTGTGGCCATAATTTTGGTTTAGCATAAGGGAAAGAAGAATACCCTGATATTTTTCTCTTCACTTCTTTTGGTCTTCTGTCAGTGCTTCCTATTGGTCAAACACAACAGGAAGTCAGTCACAGGGCAAGGGGACCGTAAGTGATTCATTCATAGATGTCAGCCTTCCAGGGCACAGCTGGGTACAGAAGTGAAAACAATAGACTCGGACAGAGAAACAAAAAAATACCATTATTATAAATATTCTCTATGACCATGGGACATTTTTCTAAAAAATCACTACATGGCAGGACAATTAAAATCCCCATAGGCTGCGTGTGGTGGCTCACACCTGTAATCCTAGCACTCTTGAAAGCCCAGGCAGTGTGGGGGTGGGGGGCAACACTTGAGGCCAGGAATTCAAGACCAGCTTGAGCAAGAGAGAGACCCAGTTGCTACTACAAATGGAAAAAATTAGCCAGGTGTCCTGGCAGGCGCCTGTAGTCCCAGCTTCTTGGGATGCTGAGGCAGGAGGATCACTTGAGTGCAGGAGTTTCAGGTTGCTGTGAGCTATGATGATGGCACTGCACTCTAGCCAGGCCAGGGGACAGAGCAAGACTCTGTCTCACAAAACAAACAAACAAGCAAACAAACAAACAAAAAACACCTCATCATAAACTTACCTTTCTAATAGTACCTCCTTCTTATTCTCACATTTAACTTAGTGTCCTCTCTGCCTACCAAAGGGGTGGGCAGGCTTTTTCTGTAAAGGGTCTGATAATAAATATTATAGACTTTGAGGCTTAAGAGGCAAGATTGAAAATATTATGTCCCATTTATCTATCCATTTAAAATGAAATCATTTTAACATGTAAAAAATAGCCATTCAAATTCAGCAGGCGGGATTTGGCCTGTGGGCTGTAGTTTGCCAGTCCTCTGGCCTAGACAGTCTTCTGAATTTTTTCTAGTCTAGAGTTGGCTACTTTTCAATATCAGGTTCAACTAAAACCTCCTCTGTGTGGTCTCTCATACCAGGATTTTTACCTGGAAGTGATTGAAAATCGACTTTTACTAACTTTTAAGTAAAACTGAGGACAAGTAGAGAGGATGTCTGAGGTAGATACTGTTAGGTTTGTTCCAGGTGGGAACTGGAAAAGTCTGTATGGGACAGAATGCAGTTAATGGAAAACCAAGGAGGTTTGTCAATCAATAGCCACAGGGGTCTCCCTGGAGGTTGTAAAATCTAACAGACAGCTGCAGAGGCCAGCATTCCTATCCCCCTGATAAGGATAGAACTACTCTCCACCCTTATCTCTACAGAATGAGACTGACCCAGGGGTCCCAGAAATTGGTTGTTTGAAAAAAAACTTTTTATTGCAGCGGCTATTCCAGCCCAGGTACTCACTACACCCTAAGAAACCCTCTATAAAACCCAAGGCTTTCCTCTCCCTCAGTGTGGTTGCTCTTTGGTCTCCACTCATCTGCACCCAGATGCCCAAAATAAACAGCATTTTGCTACACATGAGGCTTCGTGTCTCTCTCTCTCTCTGTCTCTCTCGGCTCTGGACCTAACAGATACCAGAATCCAGGAACTGAAAAAATGCCGGCTGTTCTGGGGATATCCTGGTTTGCTACTGTGGTAACATCAGAACATTCCCTCTTCATCTCCCTTTCTCTCCTCTGCTTCTGTCTTCAGTTTGGCTTCACTGTCTGGTAGTGAGATAGACGTTCCCCACAGGAAATAGGATACTTATCCGTCCCTCTTTGTGTGATAAGCCCCGAAAGTATTTTTGACCTGTCTTAGTCACACACCCACACTTTCATGAACCTGTGTGGGTGGTGGAAGGGAGAAGACTGGTGGTGGTGGTGCTAAGGTCCACCACTGCACAGGTTTAGGAGATGAGCCCATCTCTAAGGAATGGGGGGCAAGGGGCAGTTTCCAAAGGGAGGGAGAATTCTGTTGCCAGGAGATGAAAGAGGAGAAGTTGTCTAATTCAGGGAGATAGAAATGTCACAATTATAGCCATTGCAATGTGTGACATACTATAACAGTGATATGTCTGACACACATCTTTATCACCCCCAGTACCTAACATCACACTTGGTAGACTGCATGCAGTTTTTATGAATCAATGAATCAGTTCCTCCAGCTGGTTGTGAACACTCTCTTCTCTAAATTGGCTCAAAATTTCATCAGCTGCTCTTAATTCTGTGCGTTGTACTGGAGGTTTTTTATGCCCTTATTTTATCGCCTCCGTAATCCTAGGTGCTTTTTAAAGGAGTGTCTGAGACAGAGGCAGGCACTTGTAAACATCCTGTGTAAATTTCAATCCCAGACCCAGAGCACAGATTGCTACACCGCTGACAGGACCGATTATATTTTGGGCGACCCGTGTGGCCTTTTCGTTGAGGCCATTAGGACACAAAGCCTTCACCTAAAGAGGAGATCCTCCCGTGGGAGGGAGGCAGGGCTCAGAGGCGGGGGCACAGCGGGGCCCCAGCCTCAGGCGCGTCACTGAGCACAAAGGAGACACCAGGGAGGCGGCGGCGGGAGCCGATCCTCGCTTGCCAGCCACTCGCAATTGCGGTTACAGACCTGCGGCTCCCCTCCCCCTCCCAGGCCTGCCCGGCAGCCTTTCTGTCTCCTCTCTCCCTCCGTACTGGACGGCTCGGGTCTATTTCCGGGCTCCGGATATTTGGTATCGATGAGGGCTGGGGTCGCGGAGCAGGTGGCTGTGTTCGGGCAGCTGGACGCGTAGCCTGCTGTGCCGGAGTCTGTCTCCCGTCGCCTTTGTCGCCAGCCCTTGCCCGGCCGGCCCACTTCCTCCTCCCGGACCGCGCGCGCTGCCGGCCGGACTTCGCGCCGCGTCGGGCACTGCTGCTGCGCTGTGGGGCCCGCTCGGTGCGGGCGCCGGCCGGGAAGCGGAGGCGAGGGACAGCCAGGACCCCGGCCCAATATGGCTGAAGTCAGTATCGACCAGTCCAAGCTGCCAGGAGTTAAGGAAGGTAGGGGCCGGGGTGTTAGGGCGGGAGGCCCCCTCTTCTCTCCCCAGCCCGGGTTCTCTCGGGGCAGACGCGTCGTCATTTTGGCCCCCGCGGCCCGCGCACGGCACCCGCCTTGTGCTGTCCTGGCCTGGAGGTGGAGGGAATTGAATTTAGGTTTTTCTGTGGGACCTTGGGTAAGTCACTTACGTTCTAAGCCTTTTTTCCTATGTAAGCGTGTAGGGGGAGGATAGCACCACCCCCAGCAAGTAGTTGTACAAATGTTCCCATGAATGGCAAAGCCCTTAGTGAAAGCTGAAAAGCTGGGTAAATGTTGCTTGTTGTTAAAAATCAAGGCTGGCTTGAAGGCTGGGAGGTGGGGAGGGTTTGGCGTTCAGTTCCGTGTGGAGCCTTTGTTTTGAAACATGACTCTTCCCTCCTTCTCTGCCCACTTTGGCCTGCATCTGGCTGGCTGACTTTCCTACCTTCCTCAAGGTTTAAAAGTTTAGTCCTGGCATTGCCCTGCACAGGCCGGTGGGAAGTGGCCACAAGCATTTTCTTTCAAAAAGCAGTGAGCGAAGGGAGCATGGGACTGGTGACCTTGTTTTTTAATGGTGTCCAGGAAAATAGTGATTGATTAGTATTGGCCTGGTGTAGCTAACAGCAGGTGGTAGCCCTTGACATCCCTTCTCTGTTCTTCATCAGCTGCCCTGGGACCTAGCATTTTTTATTGAGGTCTTGGGTGCTGGATCACCTTACCCTTTAATTATTTTTGGCTTTCCTTTGGTCACAGAAATTCCAGAATGCTATTGGAAGCCCAAGTTCCAATGGCTTGCAAAGCCTGCCTTTGTTGTGGATGTCAATTGTTTCAACTGAATACTGTGGCCTGACATGTCTTGGGAAGTGGAATTGAAAATAAGAATTTTTGCTTTCTTGGAACTGCGTGTTTCATTGCCAGCTTAATTTGACTCACATGGTCTGGTGGGTGCTCAGGCCAACCCAGAATTCCCACCCAAATTAGTGACTCCTTGGCTGCTTTCTTTCCCAGGGTTTCAAACACTAAGAGACTAGTGATTTGTTACTGATTTTATGTAGAATTTTTAATGGGGCTACAGTTCAGATGTGAGATAAGATGTGAGAGTCCTAGTCTTAGAGATTGGTTATTTCTTGCTTTTGGATGTGAGGGGGTGTGTGTGTGTGTGTATTTTGAGTGTTTCTCTAGAGAAGAGTGATCCGTGTGTAGTGCTTCCTTGGAGTAGATGATGAATAGAATGAGAATTGGAGTTCAAACAAAACCTGATGTGGAATATTAATCATATAGTGCTGTGATCTTACCCAGTTTCCTATTCATGTGAGTGACCTAGAAAAAACTTAAAACTCTCTTTACTTACGTTTATGTTATCCTTAGTTTTTGATTGTTTTTTAACCAAGGCATGAATGATTTATTCTAATGTATTATTTCTCAAGGAGTACCACAAACACCTTCTGTATAAAAATGTAAGGTTTTTCTATTCCCAAACTCTAGACTTTAATATATTCAAATTGGCTTTCATTTAACATAATATGGTGTTTGGCAATCCGTGTTACATAGTCTGGTAAATTGATAAGGAAATTAGTGTGGCTCTTTCATGTGTCTTCATTAAATTAAAATGAAATATTTATTAAGTTTGAAGGTGTTCAGAAATTGTTGAGAAGATCATTGCCTTTGTAAGCATCTGACCTTTCTGGCTCCTGGTTCCAAGAACATCAAAGGAAATGATATACTAGAAATGTTTTACCACTGCTGGTGAAGTTTTTGATCTGGGAAGTATTCAAGTCTAGTAAAGTATATCTTTCTCTAATATAACTCTTAATTATGGCCCAGTTACTCCCTAGCAGTGTCTTTACTCTAATTAAAGAGACTAAAGCTGGTGCCATGATGGGGTAAAACATACACAAACATTGGGACTGTTGTAACACTGAAACACGACAACTAAATTTGAGAAGATTTAGTAGTAGCAATTTGACACAAGATTTTTGAATCTCATTTAAAAAAAATCTCTATATCTGTCTCTTCCACTTCCCTTTTTAACTTAAACCTTTGGTAGATTTATATATATAATAGTTACAGTTTATTATAAGTTGGTGTCATGGTGTAGATTCCAATAGAGATTGTGAATAATGCAATGAATGTACGCCCCTTTCCACTGCCATTTCTTTAGGAGTGAGGTGGGGCACCCTGTGACCTTTCTTGTGAACATCTCAACAGAGGTCATGGGTAGCAGCTGACATTCTAGTAAGGAGATATTTGAAAATCTTTGTTACGTTAAAATCTAGTGCTTGCTTACTTAGTTTTTAAGGAGGTCAAAGATACTTGTCATTTGGACAGAACTTTTTAAACACACACATACAACTACGGCAGTATTTGTATCTTGGGAAATCTCTCTTAAACCAGGATCAAAGGGAAATGTTTGAGTTCTTATGCAGGTGAAAAGACTTAAGTCACCTAAATGTCAACACACGTCATTTTTTTCTCGTTAAAAGCATATTTGGAACATCTACATTTTGTGATGGACGAATTCTGTTGCCAATATTTAGGAATAATGCTTTATTTTTTACTGAAACTTGAGGTCCTATGCAACAAGATTTGAAATAATTCCTAGCCATTTTTTAAATCACTAGATCTATAACTAAAATGTAACATGCAATTTGGGAATGTTAGGTAAAGGAATAGACATATTCCAAGAATATTCTGAAAGCTTTTTAGTTTAGAGTTCATAGCAGAGCACATATTTTTCTAAAAGTAGTGCTTTTTCTAAGTACTTTTAATCAATTGACAAACAGATTTTTTTTGTCAATTTTAGTCATCTTTACAGAATTTTCTTTCTGAAACAGCAATCAAGACTCCCCATTTTCCTTTTTGCTTTCTCCAGTAAGATTTCCATATCACTACTTAATTTGAATTTCCCACTTATTACTTAATTTTACTATTTCCCCCATTTATACAAGGTTTTACATTATCATAAAGTTTTCCTCTGAGAGCATTAGCATGTTCATCAAAGCCATTCTAGACCTTTTTATCAACTTCTTTGCAATTTTTTAACTGTTAGTTTTTCCCCACTTTTAGCCACTTAGCACATGCATTCTAACTCTCCTGCCTTCTTTCAGTGTTTACCTTATTTTATCTTTCTTACAGCGCTTTCCCAAATCTTGTTTTTTATTTTCTATTCTTACTGTTTTTTATATGGAAAGTTCCACTAGCTCCAAAGTTGGTGAACTCTGTGTGTGTGTGTGTGTGTGTGTGTGTGTGCGCGTGTGTGTGCTTAACATCTGAAATCAGTGTACCTACGAGTGACTTATTTCTTCAAGTATAGGTAGCTAGCTCTTCTGGGAGCACGTCCTTTTTCTTTAATGAAAGATAAAATTTAATACATTTTTTGAAATGTCTATACAAGAAAACATACCTAGAAAGCACTGATTAACTGTACATTCATGACACCCCAATCACATAATGGGGTATATTAAATTAATGGCATAAATCTAGAACTTCAAGGGAAAGATACAAAATTATGTCTGTTACAATCAGTTAACCCAGTAGTCCCAAAGATCTAAAGCTTATCACATGTACAGTAGACATCTAAAGTGATGGCAGTGTCTGTGAGATGTACATAATCTGGCTCCAGGCAAACTTGCTGTCCCTTTTATTCAGAATTCCACAGCAGTTTTTGTTATGGTTGCTTTTTAATGAGATCCTGGCTGGATTTCCTTGAGCTGGGAGGTCTGTGTCTTACCTTGCTTCACCATCCCCATCTGGCTTCAGGTCTTTCATATACTCAGCAAATATTCAGTGAATATTTGAATGTGTGAATAAATGAATGATTGAATGAGTACATTATTAGATGTTCCCTGTTTAGGAATCTTATCCTAGCATAATTATTTTATACTTCTTTTTGTATAAGCTCCTAAGGGCAGAGATAATGCCTTTTAGCCATGTGTGTCACATGTCATTAATGCCAACATGAAATTTACAAAAACTTCTGAATTAAAAAAAAAATTTTTTTGTAAGTATGTCTTATAAGTAGAATTCATTCAACATAGATGTGTGTGTGTGTGTGTGTGTGTGTGTGTATAAAACAAGGTAAAAAGTGGATCATTGCTTTCTCTTTTGGCTTTGGAGGTAATAATTAATAGAATTTTAGTAAAAACATTTTAAAAATGCTATTTTGTAGTTTTGATTTTTATTTGAGAATAGGTTTAATTTTTTTTCTTAAATATAAAGCAGTAAACAATTTGGGAGCTGGAAGGAATCTTTGATATGGACTTAAAATAATAATTATTGATCTACTGTGTGCGATGTATTGTGTGAGGGTAGTTCCACAATAAAAAAATGCCCTGTGGTGCACAATCTTCATTGTGGTGTAGAATACATGAATTTGTTGAAAAGAACCCTCTAAATTCATATGTGCACCCAAAGTGCCTCTTGCATAAGGAAAAAAATCTTTTAGGTTACTGCTATGTGTGTGCATGCAGTACTTTCTTGAATGAATAAATGAATTTTTTTCAAATGAATTATTTGTAAAATAATTTTTTAAACTAACAAGTATTTAAAGGACAACTCCCATGAGGGAAACTATAGAGTTAATTGATATTTTTAAAAGAGATCTCAAAGTAGAAAACATTAAAAAACACTGATCTAGGCCAGCGTCCTCATTTTCCAGCTTAAAATCTGAAGGCCAGGAAAAGGAAGTGAGTTATGCTAAACCGCTGAGGGTATAGCTAGGAACTGGCAAGTTAGGGTCTAGAATTAGAAAAGTTTAGAACTGTGAATATTTACACAGTTTAGTCTTCCCTCCTTCCTCCTTATCTACCTTCTCCCTTCCTTACCCTTCCTTCTCTCCTCTCCCTGTCTTTCTTTTAAATTGTTCTGTAGATATATAACATTCATTCCTGATGTGTTTCATCTAATACTGTCATATGTTTAAAAAAGTATAATGAAAATAATGATTGACAAGACTTTCAGAGATTTTATGAGGTTATTTTAGGGG